CTGCGCTCCGCTCCTGTTAGTATCATGGCTGCCGAGCGTTGGACTAGCTGGAGCTTCCGAGCCGTCTTCAAATAAATAAATAAATAAATAAATAAATAAATAAATAACCTATACTGTTCAGGTGGTATGGGTACAACTATCATATTTTGGTACATATCAAGGAATGTCAAAGCATGACCTGTAGACATATGGATTTTTCTTCCAGACACCAGATTAGCAAAGTGATATGATGTGAGAACTGGAACATCAATAATTATTAGTCATAGATTAATTATCCATATTTAATTTTAAAATATGCTAATAAATGCCAATTGCTGGAGGGCAACGGTTAACCTCTATTGCCCTTACAACATAGTTTGGGAACTCTAAGAATCTAGGAGTGAAATAAAATTGTTGTACTTAGTTTGTATCTATAAGCATCGTTTACTTTGAGTTTTGATTTAGTGTGGTTCTTGTATAGTTTTGCCCTACACCACAGAATCTTATACAAAACACAGAATTCAGCAATGGTCTATTAGCTATTTTCAGGGAAATTCATTTGCATGCTTTATCCACAGTTTAGAAACATTTTTGGAAAATCCCCAATATGTTCAAGGAAAGAGGAATAGACATAGCATTAGCTATTTCTATTACATTTACCAATGCAATGCAGGATTTTAGCTACCATTTTTGGGAAAGGTTGATTGCCTGGAAGAAGCTAGCCTTTGTATAAGATGGATTGCAGGTGTTTTTTATTATTATTCATTCAGTCGCTTCTGACTCTTTGTGACCTCATGGACCAGAGCTCCTTGTCGGCTGTGGCCACCCCCAGCTCCTTCAAGGTCAAGCAGTCACTTCAAAGATACCATCCATCTATCTCGTCCTTGGTCTGCCCCTCTTCCTTTTTCCTTCCATTTTTTTCCCAGCATCATTATCTTCTCCACATCTGGGGCTAGTTGAACTTACCCTCTGTTCCTCCCCAGTAGCATTTTGACCATCTTTCCAACCTGGGAGTGTTGGGGTTCAGCCACCTCCGTGTGAAACTGAGCCTCAATCTCTGTGTGAACCTGATTCTCTGAGTGTATTTCCTGATGCAACTGAGCAAGCCACTGAACATGTATCTTTCCCTGATAGTGTTGAAACCCTTGATGCTGAAGTCAGTGGCGGGGAAAGTGAAACTGAACAGCCTGATGAGAATGTTTTGGAATCAGGCCGTGATAGCTCTCCAGAGGGAATCACACCTGGGTTTTTTAATGAGGACCGAAGGGAACAGATTTGGAAAAACAGGAGTGAATCACGGTTTCTACGAAGGTCAAATGGATTACGGGAGAGGGAGGCTTCAAAGTCTGGAGGCGTTTCAAGAAATAGTTTCTTTGGTTTAAGGGGCCTCCCCCCGGTTGTCTCATTAGATCAAGCAACGTTTTAGACTGAGGCAGCACCTTGGCAGTTTTCCTGCGTTCCATGGCCTGCATTCCCAGAGGCTTCTAGTTTTCAAGTATGGTTAGTGATGCTAACAGGTTCCTGGTGTCTGTATTGTTGTTTTTGGAATTTTGCTCAAGTTCAAAGATTTTTCCTGACTGCTGAGTTTCTACTGTGGCTTTTTGACTTTGCATTTACTTTTCTTTTGTAACCATTTTTCATCAATAAAAAAGGATTGTTTTTCTCACAGTCCAGTGTGGTGGATTGAATCTTATGGTCTCGTTTCCTGATCTGGGATGCAACAGGGAGTCCCATCTTCCAATGGTATATTGACATATCTCTGGTTGTACAGACCCATTTAGTTTTCATGGCAAGAATACTGGGGTGGATTGCCATTACCTTCTTCAGGGATCGTATTTGGTCTGATCTCTCTGCCATGACCTTTCTGTCTTTGGTATCCCTTCACAGTTTCACTCATGGCATCATCGAGGTGCTCAAGCTCCAGCACCACGACAAGGCAACGATTCTTTGCAGGAGATTGCAGGTATAACTCAACATAAAGTACTTGTTGGAGTTCAGCCTGTGATTGTGTTTCAGGATCAGGGTGCTTTGGATATAGGGAATGGTGTTAATGAGGTTCAAGATGAGTTTCAAGATAGCAGTGATATTGATGCAGAGAATGACCAGGAGATCCCATGTTTCCCATGATAATGTCCATGAGGGGTGTGGGGATGCACCTGCAGAAATTAATGAGCAAATAGATGACAAGCCAAGAGAGAAAATAGATAATGAGCCAAGAGATAGATGAGAAGAGATCAGTCAAGAGATAGATGAGAAGAGATTGGGGTTGGAGGACATCCAACCCCAAATTGGGAAAGAAGTCGTCCAGGAATACCTGGCCGCTCTTAATGAGTTCAAGTCCCCAGGGCCAGATCAACTACACCCCAGAGTATTGAAGGAACTAGCGGAAGTCATTTCGGAACCATTGGCAACCATCTTTGAGAGTTCTTGGAGAACGGGAGAAGTTCCAGCAGATTGGAGGAGGGCCAATGTGGTCCCAATCTTCAAGAAGGGAAAAAAGGATGACCCAAACAACTACCGTCCGGTCAGCCTCACGTCTATATCGGGCAAGATTCTGGAAAAGATTGTTAAGGAAATGGTCTGCAAACACTTAGAAACAAATGCGGTCATTGCTAATAGTCAACATGGATTTATGAAAAACAAGTCATGCCAGACTCATCTGATCTCTTTTTCGATAGAGTTACAAGCTGGGTAGGTGCGGGAAATGACGTGGATGGAGCATACCTGGATTTCAGTAAGGCCTTCGACAAGGTCCTCCATGACCTTCTGGCAAGGAAACAAGTCCAATGTGGGCTAGGCAAAACTATGGTGAGGTGGATCTGTAATTGGTTAAATGGACGAACCCAGAGGGT